TCATGCATAAACCATGCAATTCAGTCCTTAGTCCCAATGGCAGACATATAGAAATGGTATGGCAGACTAGAGAAAGACCCACAAAAAAATTGTCCATGAGGATAAATTCCATTGATAAGTAAAAGCAGTGTTACCAAAGTGAAATGCTGAGCAGGTAAAGCAGAATGTACAGTGTGTACCAACAGAGGTGGGTGAGCTAGAGGAGCAGTGTTGTACCGCCATCATCCAACGTGCAGTTCAAAGTCAGTAAGTTTGCAATGGCTCAGCCGAGCCTTTGGCAGTGAATGGAGAGGCCCCGGTACATACAGTATATGCCTATTGTGGAACAAGATCCACTCACCCAACCTCATGCTTACTTAAGGATATATCTCTTCCTGCTGCTGAGGATGAGGTGCACCATCAAGCTGTATGTTATCAGTGGGTCAGGAGTTGCCTGGTCTGCCCAGTGTGAGGATGTGCAATGGGTAGCGGTGCAAGGTATCACCGCATGGAAGGGCCAGGAGGAGGACGTCACAACAATATGACGTCAACGCGTTTCTCCCAGAGTCACGTGAGCTTCTTCAGGATATGAAAGCCATAGTGTTGAAGACCTTTATAGATGACTTAAACATCACTTCCGATTTTCACAGGAAAAATGGCCACCAAGAGAGTACTCGGGTGAGTCGGCATATTCATTGTATATATTTAATTGTAATTCCATTGCAGGGGATCCCATTTTTAGCTTTTTGTTATACTGTCATTCTGAAGGGTGGCTAGAGCTCAGCAGACATCCATCCACTGAGCCTCCCACCTGTGTACACAGCAGGAAGTGACATATTGACTGCTCCTGGTTTGGAGCAGTCAATCACTAGGATCAGTCCCAGGGGGCTGTGTTCCATCAGCTGCAGTTGAGTACAAAGGAGACATCTAAAGATCTAACAGACCCTGCATGCGTCATAAAGGGAACTGGTCACTTATATGCTATCAAATAGGAGGCTAGTGGTCCCCTATGTGATAGCAATAGCTGTAAACAAAAAAAAAAAAAAATTTTCATTTAAAGAGCCACACACAAGAAAAACAAAAATGTTAGCGGCCCCCCACACAGACAAAAAAAAGAAAAAAAAGAAAAGGAGCAAGAGTTGGGGCGCCTACATACAAAAACAGAAATTACCCTACATCTCGGTGTTCATCGGAAAGAGAGCAATAATTCTACTACAGAGCTCGTGTGTATCACTAAACTGAGGACCTGTGGGTTCTTTTAAAGTGTTGCCAATGGCAAAATATAGGGTACTGATGTTTTTCATTGTTTCACAGGCATGCGTAATACTTGAAAATTTGTTAATAAATTGCATTTATGTGCGTCAAAATACACATTCGCCTGAGTAGACAAAAATCCTTGCACCATCCCTGCATATCACCTATTTACAGAGCAAACCTGACAGACATATTTATTTATTTCAGGTACTTATATAGCGCCCTCAATTTACGCAGAGCTTTACATATATATTGTACGTTCAGATCAGTCCCTAACCATCAAGGGGCGTACAATCATATGGAGGATGCCCATTGCTGACCTCATTCATGAAGGCTTTTTGCCTGGCTATCTCCTATATTCATCTTCAATCTGTTATGAATCACTGACCTGGAACAATACCACAGACCAGAAATGTCAGAGTGAAGTGTAAACTCATGATCTGCATATTTGTTTTTGGTCAGTGTCTCAGAAGGTACTAAGGCTACAGATTCACCCCAACAGCTAACATTTTCACAATCATCAGGTCATCAATGGCATGTACGTTTGTAGCATAGGTACTGGTCGATAAAGCGGAGCGCCACCCAAAAGGGGAAGTTCCGCTTTAAGCCTTTGTCCCCCGCTCCCCATTAAGGATTGGCACCTTTGGCGAATTTGACAGATACCCGCTCCCACTTCTGCTGCAATCGCCTAGGTCAGTGGTCGGCAAGCCGCGGCTCGCGAGCCACAAGCGGCTCTTTACAAACTTAAATGCGGCTCTTCTGTGTGCCGGGCGCCTGCTCCCCTCCCTCCTCTCGGGCGGCCGCCCCAAAAGTCAGGACTCTGCAGCTGTCAGGATGTAGGCGGGGCAGCCAGGATGTAGGCGGGGCAGCGTGACGAACTCCTCTCCTCTCACAGTCCGCCCTGAAGACCAGAACGGCGCGGGAACACGGCGAGAAGAATGCGCGGAGCAAAGGTAAGTGAATTGACACAATATGGGGAATGAATTACTATAGGGGGGATGAATTACTATAGGGGGGATGAATTACTATGGGGAATGAATTACTATAGGGGGGATGAATTACTATAGGGGGGATGAATTACTATGGGGGATGAATTACTATAGGGGGGATGAATTACTATAGGGGGGATGAATTACTATAGGGGGGATGAATTACTATGGGGGATGAATTACTATAGGGGGGATGAATTACTATAGGGGGATGAATTACTATATGGGGGATTAATTACTATGGGGCAGTGGTCGGCGAGCCACATGCGGCTCTTTACAAACTTAAATGCGGCTCTTCTGTGTGCCGGGCGCCCGCTCCCCCTCCCTCCTCTCGGGCGGCCGCCCGAAAAGTCAGGACTCTGCAGCTGTCAGGATGTAGGCGGGGCAGCCAGGATGCAGGCGGGGCAGCGTGACGAACTCCTCTCCTCTCACAGTCCGCCCTGAAGACCAGAACGGCGCAGGAACACGGCGAGAAGAACGCGCGGAGCAAAGGTAAGTGAATTGACACAATATGGGGAATGAATTACTATAGGGGGGATGAATTACTATATGGGGGATGAATTACTATATGGGGTATGAATTACTATATGGGGGATGAATTACTATATGGGGGATGTATTTTCAGTTTTAAAAATGTGGCTCTCAAAATAAATTTAAATCGTGGTTTTGGCGAGATTTGGGTCAGTTGAAAAAAAAAGGTTGCCCACCACTGGCCTAGGTGATCGGAAGCAGAAGTTGTCCTCCACTCCTCCCTCCCCATAGTCTTCTGGGACATGTGACAGGTCCCAGAAGATTACGGGGTCATTCACAAAGTGCAGCACTTCTCGCGTATGCGGTGTGGGTACCCGGCTGTGAAGCCACAAGCTGTCACAGCCGGGTGCCCACACTGAAGATGCCGGTGCCAGGGAGAGAAGACGGCCGGTGAAACCAGTGGTGGTGAAGACACCGCTGGACCCAGGGACAGGTAAGTGGCTGTATTTTAAGTTTTTGTAGCTGCGGACGTATTTTTATTTTTTTAGGTGGAGCTTTAAGCTAGGTTTTCTGTGACAACGGTTTCATATCAGTTTTTTTGCCTCACAATAATCTTACAAGACTACCTGCAACATGAAAAAAGTTTCTACTTGCAATGTCTAGTCAATGCAACCATGACAAATCATGGAACCAAGAATACACACTGATGTTACAAACTGAAACAAAAAAAAAAAAAAAATGAGAACAGCAACTTCAGTAGGGATACTTCTGAAGTGTACATAAAAACAGAGACGGATGTGTTTTCAGATGATCATATCACATACCGACTAATGATGTTACAATATACAGCAAAAGTATCAATATTTCAGAAAACCTGTAGCTGGCATTAATATATATATATATATATATATATATATATATATATATATATATATATATATAATGTTCTTGAGCTGGCATAGCCAGGCTGGGATGTGTTGCAGCTTCTTCTGCAGGCAGAAGGAAACCTGACAATCTTAAGTGGTAAAAGACTGAAGCACGTGGGCTGATCTGTGTCAGATGTCACAGTCACAAGGCTTGCGGGAGTACCATTTAATCTCTGTGAAAGGTACTCTAAATACCTAAAAAGTGTCATAAGGACACTACCTGGCATGCATGCTCTGATCATGGTAAACTGAACTGTACCTACATATGATGCTAGGTCCATGCTTTAAATTTTATGCTGTTCTTCCTCCTTAGCCATGAATCAGCACAACACTATCCCACAACTTTTGTGGTTTGTCCAATATGCCTTCATTTATATTGACAAATGGACTTCTCTCCACTCTAAAATATTAAAATCTTCTTATAGCCACAAACCTCTTCTCTTGTCTTTAAACCAATTACTCTTCAATTGTGGCAATGAAGAAACCACATAAGAACCATTTACTACTGTATTACATAAACAATTGATGTCATTTTAGTTGCATTTGGGTAGTTACAACGTCCTTGTAGGATTTGATTCTGAATACAATTCCAAATGTACACTATAGTCCCTAAACCCCTTTACAGCATTGGGGGTTGAATAATTTTGGTCACAAACCCCCCTCTCCCCCCCCCCCTTTGTACATATGATGCTAGGTCCATTTTAAATATTATGCTGATTTAGCCATGAATAGCAAAACCAAATATGTTATATTATGAAAATATTAAAACACAAATTAAACCAATTACTCTTCAACCTTTAATAAAGTTATTTCCCTTGTAGCATGTTTCTCTTTGTTACAGATGCCAAAGTCCAATCAGTTAAGAGAAACAAGTTTTCAAATTCCTGCTGCAGAGGGCAGTGTTTATCTTTTTATTCTCAAACATTTTTTTCTTGAGATGGATAATTCTAAACTTGTGTATCAGTTATAGCTTGCAAATACACACACACACTTTTTGTTATCAAACTTTATTTCACCGTAAACAACCTGTCAAACAGATCAATTAATAAGCTTGAAATGGAGTAATGAGGTAAAGCAGTTTCAGGATAGGGAACATAAAGCTCCATAGTCAAAAAAAGTAGAATTATTCAGTTAAAAAACAGTTTTCAAAAAACCCATAATTCTCAAACACAGTAAATTTTAGTTGTAAATGCAAACACTTTTTGTTTTTTTTTTTAAATAAAAGATCAATTAAAAGCTTGGAAGACAAACTTTCAACATCTGTAAAAAAAAAAAAAGGAACACAGTAAATTTTAGTTGTAAATGCAAAAAAAGAAAAAAAGGAGTAGAAAATCCAGGTAAAACAGTCCAGTTTTATATTAAAATTTTTGCTGCATCCAGTTTAATACACAAATGGTACCAGGATTTTTCGCGATTTGGGATAGTTGTCAAATTTCTCAAGATACCATCTGAAAGACATGAAAAAAAGGCAATATGGAGTACAGTTTTCATCCAATAATAGAATACATTACATCACTTCTTAATTTTTATTAAATTAAAAAACCAAAAAAAAACAAAAACAATCATTTATTCAATATTCTCATCGTATGTACAGGGCTTAAAGGATAACTATTTAGTAAAAAATAATAAATGCAAATTTTTTGGCAGGTAAAAACATGTGCATTTATTATTTTTGTCTGCAGGAACCTGTAAAGCATTGCACCATCGATCAGCACAGCAGATCACTGGCGCCATGCAGGTCTCTTACAGAGCTGTCAGAATATCTGCTTGCTTGCACGGAATGTACGAGCAAGCAGATATACTGACAAGAAGAATCAATGAACTACCACGGGACTCCAAAACAGGATCGGGGGGGAGCTGGTCAGATCGTTACATGTTACACCCAGAATATGGGTGCAACGCTGCGAAAGGTGAACTTATCCGTTAAGATTGTAAGTTCCTTGAGGGCAAAGACTGAATAATATACATATATTATACACTATATTGCCAAAAGTATTGGGCCAGCCCTTCAAATCAATGGATTTGGGTGTTCCAATCAACTCCATGGCCACAGGTGTATATAATCAAGCACCTGGGCATGCAGACTGCTTCTACAAACATTTGTAAAAAATGGGTCGTTCTCAGCAGCTCAGTGGATTCAAGCGTGGTACCGTGATAGGTTGCCACCTGTGCAGTAAGTCCATCCATGAAATTTCCTTGCTACTAAATATTCTACAGTCAACTGTTAGTGGTATTATAACAAACTGGAAGCAACTGGGAACAACAGCAACTCAGCCATGAAGTGGTAGGCCACGTAATATGACAGAGCGGGGTCAGTGCATGCTGAAGTGCACAGAAGTTGCCAACTGTCTGCAGAGTCAAAAGCTAAAGACCTCCAAACTTCATGTGGCCTTCAGATTAGCATAACAACAGTGCGTAGAGAGTTTCCATGGCCGAGCATCTGCATCCAAGCCTTAAATCACCAAGTGTAATGCAAAGTGTCGGATTCAGTGCCGTAAAGCATGCCACCACTGGACTCTAGATATGTGGAGATGGGTTCTCTGGAGTGACGAATCACACTTCTCTGTCTGCCAATCCGATAGACGTGTCTGGGTTTGTTTGTTGCCAAGAGTAAAGTTTTGTGGAGGGGGGATTATGGTGTGGGGTTGTTTTTCAGGGGTTGGGCTTGGCTCCCTAATTCCAGTGAAGGGAACTCTTAAGGCATCAGCATACCAACACATTTTGGACACTTTCATACTCCCAACTTTGTGGGAACAGTTTGGGGATGGCCCCTTCCTGTTCCAACATGACTGAGCATCAGTGCACAAAGCAAGGTCCATAAAGACATGGATGAGCGAGTGTGGGGTGGGGGCACTTAACTGGCCTGCACAGAGTCCTGATCTCAATGTGATAGAACACCTTTGGGATGAATTCGAGCGGAGACTGAACCAGGTCTTCTCCTCGGACATTAGTGCCTGACCTCACAAATGCGCTTCTGAAAGAATGGTCAACCATTCCCATAGACACTCCTAAACCTTGTGGACAGCCTTCCCATAAGAAGAAGAGTTGAAGCTGTTATAGCTGCAAAGGGTGGACCAACTCAACACTGAACCCTATGGACTAAGACTGGGATGCCATTAAAAGTTCATGTGCGTGTAAAAGTAGGAGTCCCAATACTTTTGGCAATATAGTGTATGTACATATGTAAATGTATGGCGCTATACAAGTACCTGTAATAAATAATTTGTACCTATGGATAAAACAGCCCGTTTAATCAAAAGACAGCAATAAGGCTACTTTCACACTGATCTGTGCATATGCGTTTTTGCAGTGCGTTTTTCACAGGACATGTGACTCGCATCAACAACACAATGCGGTTGCATATTTGGTGTGTTTTTTTTTAGCTACACCAAACCTGTGCCAAAAATGCAGCAAACAGTATTTTGCTAAACGAAGCAGACCCGCAACAGATGAATGTGAAGAGTTTCATAGGCTGACACGGTCAAAAGTTTTTCTTCCATTTTTTTTTCTGCTTTTTAAAATTAAAAAAAAAAAAAAAAAAAAAAAGGAAGAAGATGATAAACAGTGCACAGTGTAAAATGAAGAAAGACAAACAACTAGCATGGCACTACTTACCTTGCAACATAAATGTGTCATGGCTTCTAAGGGACTTGTACATTTTTTCTATTAACTTATATAATAACTCAAATCCAGAGCTCACAGTCTATTGTCTCAACTAAAGCCATATTTGTGCAAAAAAAAAAAAAAAAAAACAAAAAAAAAAAAAACCAACAACATACCAGAATGTTACTTTTTTGGATGGAGAGAGGAAAGCAAAGTGACCTTAGGATATCAATAGAAAGCAAAAAGAATATGTAATATATACACAGTACAGTCAGGGACTACTATATTAGATACAGCTGATCACTAATACGAATACCAGGTCACGTGACTACAACTTAGCCTACAGAGCGGGCGGCCTCGCTGTGCTGGATGAAACTAAGATTAATCTGTACCAGAATGACGGGAAGAAAAAAAAGTGTGGAGAAGGCTTGGAACAGCTCATGATCCAAAGCACACAACATCAGCTGTAAAACATGGTGGAGGCAGCGTGATGGCATGGGCATGCATGGCTTCCAGTGGCACTGGGTCATTGATGATGTGACAGAAGACAGAAGATTCTGCAGTGTTTAAAGATAAAGGTGTCCGTTTATGAACCAGCAGTAATAGATCGCTGTTCAGTTCTCCGGCATTCTCAGAGAACACAGACCTCCAGTGAATGCCTTTTATGAAGCAGTTCTCCAAACGAAGGGAGAACGGTCTCCAAACGCTGGAGAATGGCTCATTTTGCTATAATCTCGCGAGATTACAGTAAAAGATCAGTTTACTAAGCAGAGGTAAATGATCTCTGCTTAGTTTGCGGTCCTTCCGATTCTCCAGCTCTGGGCTGGAGAATCTGTAGGGAGAACACAGATCTCCAGTGAAGGGCTGAACATGATCTCCTGAGTGTCATAAACTGTGAATGACCAGAGAATAGCTGCGATCCTCTCAATGGCAGCTATTCTGTGTCATAAATGGACACCATACTGTCAGCCCAGATTCAGACAAATGCAGCAAAGTTGATTGGACAGTGTTTCACAGTACAGATGGACAATGATCCAAAACACTGCAAAAGCAACCCAGGAGCTTTTGAAGGAAAAGAAGTAGAATATTCTGCAATGGCCGAGTCAAATCACCTGATCTCAACCCGATTGAGCATGCATTTCACTTACGCTGTAGAAGTTGAAACATGTTACATGTTTCCACCCTAAAAAAAAAAAAAAAAAAATGGGTGGAGCATGTAACATGTTTCCAAAGGTGAATTTATCCTTTAAGACCAGGCCTTTTCTGACACTTTTTGTTTACATGTAAAGATCAGTATTTTTTGCTAAGAAGTTACTTTTTTTTGCAATCACTTTCATTATTATCACAGGGAATATAAATATACTCTGAAATAGCAATAGTTTGTAACAGGTACTCTTTGAGGAGAGATCTGGTGTCTATTAGATAAATTTTATAACAAAGTAGAAAAGATTGTTTTTTCTAAAATTTTCAGTCTCTTTTCATTTATATATGAAATAAAAACCCAGGGGTGTTCAAATACCACCAAAATAAAACTCTATATGTGTGAGAAAATTATGTAAAATTTAATTTGTGTAATTTGTTTAATTTGCTGGTAAAAGTAGTGCAGTGCCGAATAGCAAAACTTGCCCTGTTCGTGAAGGGGGTAAAACCTTCCGGAGCTTAAAGTGGCTAAGCCTTCAAAATGCTTATCCTCCCACAAATCGTTTATTTAGAACCCTGCATATTTCCACTCCACATTCCTACTCATCATTATCCTCTCTGCTTACAGTGTTAATTTGGCAGGTAAATAAATCTTGATGTTCCCACGCCCTTTCTCACAAAACATAGGAGAACAGGAGGAATGGGGATTGTAGATATCTTTGATTACCATACAGCAATTCATTCTGACCAACTGAAACATTGTTTTTCTACCAATGAGGCTCCACTATGGGTTGATATCGAAAAACACCTCACTAAAACCGTTACATTTGGTCACTTGCTTCTCGCAGACCTTTGGAAACCAATCCCAATAGATAACTTGCCCTTCACCACCAAAGAGTCTATCCTGGCTTGGAGAACACTAACCAAATCCACGATTCACCTTCCCATACATGCTGACATTTGTGTGATTTCCTATTCACACACTGGAAATTTTAATTCCGATCCTATGAATACACGACTGGGAGAAATATGGTATCACTGGGCTGAGAATTCTTACAGATGGTAACCCTGAAACTCCTGAAGCTATAATAAATAAGTTTAATTTACCTTGCACAACTTATTTCACATTACTACGTATTAGACACTTTCTAACATCTCATCCTTTACCTAGGATTTACCTTCACCCGAAAGTGTGGCGTTTCTTAACGTGCCTCGAGAAACCAAAGAGGTATATCTCTAATATACAATTTACTACATACTAAAATCTGAATTTATAAAAAATAACCCCATACTCAAAATGGGAAACAGACCTTAATATGTCCTTTACCAGCTCTCAATGGCATTATGCCATAAAATACACATATAATATCACCCACTGGGAATTGGCCTTAAAACTAAAAACACAAGATGGTATCTTACACCTTATAAGTTGGCTAAAATATATCCTGTGTGCTCTTCCCTGGAGAGGTTGTGGCTCTGTGTAATTTGTTTCATATAATGTGCAATTGTAAAAGTATCCGCAGCTTCTGGCGAAGAATATTTCAAATCCTGTCAGTCATCTCAGGTGTACTTACCAACCCTAATCCTGGTCTAGCTATATTGAATTTAGGAATAGATAACTTTCCTTCTTCTTATCGCAACACTATTGTCAACCTCCTGTTATCAGCTAAACTAACCATTATAAGAAATTGTACCAAAAAAAAAAAAAAAAAAAGAACTAGCCTCTAATCCAGCAATGGGCAAACTATGGCCCGCGGGCCGTATACGGCCCGGCGCACCTTTTCATCTGGCCCGCGGAGCTAGGCTCCCGCTAGGCTCCTCTCACAGTCCGCCCTGAAGACCGGTGTAGCATGAAAATCTGTCTCCTATGAGGATCTGTCCCCCTCGACGTATCTGCGCATGTGCCGGAGATCGCCGATCGGCTGCTAATGCCTGAAACTGGCACATGCGCAGATACGTCGAGGGGGACAGATCCTCATAGGAGACAGATTTTCATGCTACACCGGAACGGCGCGGGAACACGGCGAGAGGAACGTGCGGAGCAAAGGTAAGTGAATTGACACAGGGGGGACTTGGGGACTTAATATGGGGAATGAATTACTATAGGGGGGATGAATTACTATATGGGGGATGAATTACTATATGGGGGATGAATTACTATAGGGGGGATGAATTACTATGCTTACTATGGGGGAATATTACTATACTTACTATGGATGACACATACACATCATTCATCTACTCTTGGTCCGGCCCCCGGGTCCAATATATGAACCCATTGCGACCCTCAAGTCAAAAAGTTTGCCCACCCCTGCTCTAATCCATCAGAAACTGTATATACTACCCAACACTACTACTCATATGAAAGATTACTAGCTTTCCAATTTGACACATTGCCTGCATTTGAGAAAGCCTGGAAACCTTAGCTTACATGGTATAATACTTAATTATGGTTCTAAGTGTTGTGCTTGATGGATCGCTTTCCCACGACTGCACTTATAGCCTATCATATATGTAGCTATTTACTTATCAGCTCCCTTTCCCCCCCTTCTTTTTCTCTGACATGAGTGATACTTTGAACTAACACCTTAATGTTACAAGACATATATGTTTGACCTTCATGTATATTTACGTTAAGGACTAACTGTATTGCATTACACTCTGATTACTGTCACAATGTTATTACGCTGCTATGTCCACATCTTATGCATGTAACCTTTACATCATACCAATAAAAACAAAATGGTTAAAATAAATACTCTTTTTTGTTTCCCATTTTTCATTGTGGTTCCATAAAGCCCCACCTCAGCCATCCTTCACTGTGGTTCCATAAAGCCCCACCTCAGCCATCCTTCACTGTGGTTCCATAAAGCCCCACCTCAGCCATCCTTCACTGTGGTTCCATAAAGCCCCACCTCAGCCATCCTCATTGTAGTTCCATAAAGCCCCACCTCAGCCATCCTGAGTGTCTGCTCCAAGCTTGGACTACAACTGTATATCCAAAATGCAACGTAAGCCGGCACACACAGACAGCCTTGAAGACTAGTATTGCAAGACCAGCCCCTGCTCCTTCACCAATGGATTAGACTGACTGCAGCTGTTGAGATTAAGTTTATAAGGACAGGGCATGGGGATAGGAGGATAGGAATGATGGACAAGTAGTCCTAATGAGGGTGATCAAGTGACATCCTCAGTGTGTGTTTGACGAGGAAGTTCGGTGAAACAGCTGCCGAGTGATCTGGAGACAATGGCTGTGAAAGTTACTAAGTGCAGGTGCTTCTGCACATATATAGAGACAACATCTATCATTGGTGGATATCAATGTTAAAAGTAAAAAAGGAGAACTCACTACTTCAAGACAATTAGTGAGCCTTTTCTAAACATTACTAGTTGAAAAAGCTGTTTTTCTATCTGGAAATATGAAAGAAATATACTGTTAATGGTCACCAGGAACTAGAGGTGAGAATCATGTGTGTTTACGAACATCTTAAATGAAATATTCTTTCCAAGGTATTTTATTGTTCAAGGTCTTGTTCACACCTGTGTTTGGAGCTGATTACAACTTCCTGTGGGAGACTCAGGGTGTTTTCTGTGATCAGATGCAGGCTGGAACCTCCATTAAAGCAATGAGAGGCTGACAGTGACTGCAACCATTTGTTACCTGTGGATGATTTTCCCTGGATGCAAACAGTTTGTGTCTAGGGATGATCATCCACAGGTAACTGCTACAAGTTCAATTACATGCCAATGGCCACAGGTGTTATCAACCTCGCATTGCTTTGAAAGGGGCTTCCGACCTGCAGCTGTTCACAGGAAATCTTGCTGAGTTTCCAGCAGGAAACCATAGTCAAATGGAATAAAAGAAATCAGTGAGCACTTAAAATCAGCAGCTAATGCACTAAAAAGGGAACCAAAAACCTTCAAATAACATATAAGATCAGAGTGCAGCGCTATAAAATAATAATATAAATATGTGTTCAGTGTCAAATAAAATGCGTTTAAAATGATAAATCTTTGTGCGTAAAGTCCAGAGTATGCAAAAAAAAAAAAAAAAAAAAACTGTAAATAAAGTGCAAACATATCATTTCAATATGTGCTCTGAAATAAATCCATAAATAAAAATAGATGAATTAAAAGTCCATGTGATAGTGAAAACTATTATTCGTTAAATGTTATTGCTACACAAAGATCTGTGCTCAGGAGTCACAAATACATTCCTTGTGCCAATTATATATTTGGTGAGGTGACGGGGATATAGTAAAAGTGCGCACTCACCAGATGCGCATTTTAAATGTCACTATCACATGGACTTTTAATACATTTATTTATTGATTTATTTCAGAGCACATTGAAATTATGTTTGCAAAAAAAACTGTAAATAAAATGCATACTGTGGACTTTACGCACAAGATTTATCATTTTAAAACGCATTTTGACACTGAACATATTTATAGGATTATCATTTTATAGCACTGCACCCTCTGATCTTATAGGAAACCATAGTCGGCATAAAACAGGTGTGATTGAGCCCTAAAAGCATTTTCTTTTGAGATAAAAGAAATATGTAGTATAGCACATCAAGCTGATGCCTTCATCCTTGCGGCACCAAGTATGTAGGTTCTGACTTACTGTACCTGGCTGCATATTGCTTGCAGGTCAAATGACTCATTAGAGGCTGAAGCAAGTATGAGATTCACAGCCCAGAAATCGCACCTTTATAAAGCAAGTGTTTCCTTTAAAGTGCAGGTTTTACTAATGCAATACTTACTGATGATGCTGACGTGCACGGGATAAGAGACATAGCAAAGTAAATATGGCAAAAGCAGCTCCAGGTGCTGACCAGCCAGCTACTGCAAATCCTGACCATTCAACGATTTCACCAAAGAAATTTGCACCAGACACATATTCAAACAATCCGCCTATGAAATAAAAGGGCAAATATGTTTGCACTATAACAGCAAATATGTATGTATAATACAAGTATGCAGATCAGATGTTCTGACTTCAAATGATACATGCTGGTTCTGTGTTCAGCAATCAGAAAGAGGTCAGCAATGCAGGCAACATATTTTTGAAGAGAAGGCTCTCTTTAAGGCCTTCACTACTCTGAAACGATCATTAGGATAGAATTTTTCAAAAGAAAGCATCTGGCTCCTGTAACCCAAATTCAGTCAGTCAGTCATGTGTTTCTTGGAAGGCTCCCCGCTGGCAGAACACAACAGTGTTGTGGGAGGGATTCCCCTATCAACACTGTATTGGTGGGGGGGGGGGGGAAGAATTTACTTACCTGTAATGGAAGGGACAGAAAAGTGCATACTCTATGGGCTGCTTAAGTTTAAAAAGATTTGTTGAAGGATATAACATTATACAGTGGGCTAATTTCCCACACAGGGGGTTCAAAATGTGACCATGCAGCAGCATGTTAAGAAGAGAACACTAGAAATAATAGGTTTAAAATAAAATGTAAAAAAAAAAAAAATAATATATATACGTGAACGAGCATTTTTTTTTTTAAATTGACAGAACAGCAATTTAAAATGATAGTGTTAAACCTGTAGCAAAAAAAAAAAATAAAAAAAAAAAAAAACCTTCTTAGCTTATATATGAAACTTTTTTTTCAGGTTTCTGTAAATTGTGCTGTAAACGGAGCTGCTCTTGCACAGTTCAGTGTATAGTATTGGCATGGCTTTGTACCAGGATGAATGAACTCCTATGTGCATACATCCACAGGGAGAAAAACTGTCAGCTCTGGCTATGCCGCGTGAGGATGTTGCAACATTGAGCCCCAATTCACATATATGCGAATTGGATGCGTTTTGAACCACATCCAATTTGCATGACGTGACCCAAAAGGCCTTTCTATGGAACCGATTCACATACTGCATGTGTGGGCTGGCTGCAATGAGAGTTAAAAAAAAAAAAAAAAAAAAAAAAAAAAAAAAGAATATGGTACGATTTTCAGTCCGGTTCAGTTGCAATTTCCAATGTCATACACTTTAACAATTTGCAGATTCGCATTTGAACCGATTAACAAATTGCACCAGATTGGGCTTGAAATCACACTGCAAACCGGCCCCACACGTGAACTCAGGCAAATATCAAATAATTTACTTCTGCTTTAAATGCAACCAAGGTGGTGCTTCAAAACCTCTCAGCAGTGACATCACCTAGGTTACATCTTAATAAGTTTGGGTTTCTAATGCTAGGCTTCCTGATGCAAACATCCCTGCAGATCAAGCCAAGGCTGTCAGGTCCTTTGTCTTTAGTGCCAAAATTTGTTCTGTAATTTTTATTGGGTTAACATTTTCCCATGCTGTGAGTCAGGAGTTTTAGTCCTGATGATTTATTGGCCAAAAACAGAATATCTGGGTCTGCTCTCATGCTGGGTGAGAGTCTCATGAAGGGGACTCTAGTAATTTCTGCACAATGGGCAGAGATTGCTCTGTATGGCAGTGATATTTATGGTTCACTGCCATGTAAGACAGCCTCTAAAGTATTATTCGGGAAAGACAATGGTGATTCGTTGGATCCTAGTGGGGTTATGTAGAACCTTAAAGGATAGGTTCACCTTTGAGAACATGTTACATGTTCCACCTGTTTTTAGGGTGGAACATGTAACATGTTACCATAGCCTCAGCCGCTGCCCACCCTCTCTTTCTCTGACAGCTAGTACAGGGAGAAGTCTCCCTGTACTATCTGTCAAATTTGAAAACAGTGCCGCTGTGCGAGGCTCCGCCCGCACGGCAGCACCGAAAAGCCTTAGCAGCTCTCGGCTTGTAGTTTTCAATGAACTGCCACTGTTCTGGGGTAGTTCATTGAAGCTTTCTGTCAGAATATCTGCTTTCCTGTACATCCAGTGCGGCTAGCAGATATTCTGACAGGTCTGCAGGAGACCTGCATGGCATCAACGATCTACTGATTGCTTGTACAATGCTTTCCAGGCTCCTGTATATAAAATAAATGCACATTTTTTTACCTGGAAAAAAAAATGTGCATTGATTATTTTTGTCTAAAAAAAAAGGTGAACTTATCCTTTAATGTCTCACAACTATGCAGGTTTCTAGATAAAAATAGGGTGAAATTTAGATCATGTTCTAATATAAAGAATCATTAGGGCTTACACACTAGTTCAGTAGAAGGTACAGATTTAGGTTACCCTGTTATTTATACTTGGAAATGAATTGCGAGTGGCATATACAGTTGTTTTCAAAATAATAGCAGTGTGTTGAAAAAAAGTGAATAAAGCTCAAAATCCTTCTAATAGCTTTTATTTCCATACACACAAATGCATTGGGAACACTACACATTCTATTCCAAATCAAAACAAAGAAAAATATATCAAATTTGTGTTGTTCCTCTAAAAAGATTGAAGAAAAGTGAATATTAGACTGTTCAAAAAAAATAGCAGTGTTTGTATTCTTCTTTACAAACTCAAACATTCACTATATAAACTGAAAAATGTTTCAAGATTTTGCTTTCCTTTGAATCACTTAATGAATATTTAGTTGTATCGCACTGTTTCTGAGAACTGCTGTACATCTGTGTTGCATGGAGTCAACCAACTTCTGGCACCTGTGAACAGGTATTCCAGCCCAGGATGATTGGACTACATTCCACAGTTCTTCTCTATTTCTTGGTTTTGACTCAGAAACTGCATTTTTGATGTCACCCCACAAGTTTTCTATTGGATTAAGATCCAGGGATTGGGCTGGCCACTCCATAACGTCAATTTTGTTGGTCTGGAACCAAGATGTTGCACGTTTACTGGTGTGTTTGGGGTCGTTGTCTTGTTGGAACACCCATTTCAAGGGCATTTCCTCTTCAGCATAAGGCACCATGACCTCTTCAAGTATTCTGATGTATTCAAACTGATCCATGATCCCTGGTATGCGATAAATAGGCCCAACACCGTAGTATGAGAAACATCTCCATATCATGATGCTTGCACCACCATGCTTCACTGTCTTCACAGTGTACTGTGGCTTGAATTCAGTGTTTGGGGGTCGTCTGACAAACTGTCTCCGGCCACTAGACCCAAAAAGAACAATCTTACTTTCATCAGTCCACAAAATGTTGCGCCATTTCTCTTTAGGCCAGTCAATGTGCTCTTTGGCAAATTGTAACCTCTTCAGCACGACTTTTTTTCAACAGTGGGACTTTGCGGGGGCTTCTTGCAGATAGCTTGGCTTCACATAGGCGTCTTCTAATTGTAACAGCACTCACAGGGAACTTTACACCTTCTTTCATCTTCCTGGAGCTGATTGTTGGCTGAGTCCTTGCCATTTTTGCTATTCTTCTGTCCATTCGAATGGTAGTTTTTTCACTTTCTTCCATGTCTTTCAGGTTTTGGTTGCCATTTTAAAGCATTTGCAATCATTTTAGCTGAGCAGCCTATCATTTTCTGCACTTCTTTATATATTTTCCCCTCTCCAATCAACCTTTTAATCAAGCTACGCTGTTCTTCTGAACAATGTCTGGAACGACCCATTTTCCTCAGAATTTCAGAGAGAAATGCACTGTAACCAGCATGTACAACATTTGCTGCCTTCCTTCCTTAAATAAGGGCAATAATTGCCACCTGTTTGTCAAAGAATGAATGACCTCACTAATAGAACTCCACACTGCTATTATTTTGAACATGCCCCTTTCAATTAGTGGTTCAATTACACAGAATCAGCAGCATGCATGTCATGACTGTTGGGTCTGTTGGATTTCTATTACTCTACTACACCTGCTAGTAAATTATTTGCCATGTAGAAATATCATTTCTACCAAAAACAGTGATTGATCAGGTTAGTGATGTCTGACTGCTATTATTTAACACAACTGTAAGTGTTTCCTCCGTTAAGTGTGCTGATATAGAATACTGAGGCAGTTTGTAGGATAGCAGGAAATGGGAGAGAAGCATAGCACACAGAACCAATTTTCTTTTTCACTTGACCAAAGTCCCCCCCATCCACCCCAACCTCCACTTCAGACAACAGAGGTAAATCCAGTGTAGAACCGTGTCCTTTGTGGTACTTAGCTCCTACCTCTGCTGGCCATTTGTTATTTTCCTCTACACAAACCCAGCAGCACATAAGCGGAGCCAAAACTAGTGTTCATTAAAATATATTTATTTATATTTGTATTCACCATATAGGGCAGGTGTTTTTATATATTGTGCTTTTAGGCACTCAGTTGAATTTGGTCCAAAACATTAACATACCAAGAAAAGCAACATCAAATGCCCCTGAATTTATATTTTCCCCTATCTGACAACTATGGAATTTTGTGCATTTAACACTCAGCAGTTTTCCTTGCTGAATGACCAAAATAATGGGCAACTTGTAGTATACAACTTTCCTGGTCTCTCCTATAGCACATAAATAAATCCTATTAATCACAAACAAAAACATACCAATCTTGGGTGACTACTTACCATAGGGAATTTTGTAGCCCGACTCCCCAGGTGTCCTCAAATTTCGTAATATGTGGTCAGAATAAATATTGATAGCCATTCCACAGAAAAACAGTGCCAAGCCTAAGAAAAAGTTGTCTTGCATTAGGACATGTTTTTTCATTTTTTTTTTTTAAAAAGAATTGCAAAAGTCATGAATAGCTGGTCACCAAATATTGCACACAATTGAAGAGACTGTTCTTTAAAGTGGAACTCCAGAAAACATTTTAGTGCAGGAAAAAGTGGACAATAATTAATACCTCAGTATCTTACAGCCAGCTGGGTCCCCACTGGTGAGATTTTCACTCACGCTTTGTCTGGATGACCACTTCCAGTAAGTTAGATCTCCCTAATGGGGCCCCCCTTCTTACCCTGGTGACCATTTTTAAGAAAATTGGATAATCTCTGTGGAACAAGACATGAATGTTCTAGGGGCATATGAGGCATTAAAAATAATGTGCACTTGTATTTCATATCCTACTGTAAACAAAACCAAAAGTTGTAAAACATGCATTAAAGATGAGGACAAAACCTTAAAATGGTAAAAAAATATAACCCTCAAGTCTCTGTGGAAATCTGAAATCTGTACTCAGAAAGGGTCATCTTATCCAGTTTAATTTTTGAAAATCCAATGCAATTATTCTATCCCAATTTTGATTTGATTTTTCATCCATGGGAATGAATAATTCACAACTTGTGATCGATCAGTGGCAATCAGGTTGAGGCTGTCGAGGAAGAAAATCTGATCACTTTATATCAGATTTCTTAACAGTGTACTTATTTTCAATTAATTACTAAGCAATTGCAATTATCCTTTCAATGTATAAAAACAAACTATCCATAAAATGGATCGTGGCTTGTTGGTCAGTCAAATTTCTCATTAGTAAATTGTCTGGGGGGAGTTTTAAATCACTTTTAAATGTATTAGCAAGCTAAAGTTTTTTAAAATGGTAGAAATTGCTACATGCATGGCAAACAGTGGCCTTAGCTGTGTGTGCTCTTTTGTTGACATATTTCCCTGCGACATCAGGTATGGCATCTTAATGTCTGGCTGTAAAGACCTTTATTGCTTTTTTGGTTGATGGCTGACACTCTGAGCTGCTGGAGAGAAGTAAAGCTGGCTACACACTAGGAGTTTTTTTTTTTTTTCTCTTAACCGAGCAGGCTGAACGAAAAACAAATAAATAAATGAAAGAAGGATTGCCGTACTAACACAGCTGATCAGATGCGGGTTGAATGCGGATTTTCTAGCATGCTCGATCGACAGAGGCCCATCGTGAGACTGGCTCCTGTAGAACAGGCAGCTGTACACATGGGCCAAAAGTTGGCCAGTTCCTGCTAAACCGACTGGCCTTACTGTATTGGCCTTAGTCGCTCTGACTTGAAGAGAATAAAAATAACTAAAAACAAGTAATATGCCGCACGATTACACAAATTTGACAGTGGTTATCAAATGAATACAAATGCCCACTGGTGACCGATTTTCTTTAACCACTTGCCCTCCTGAGGATTTCCCCCCTTCCTTACCAGGCCATTTTTTTTTGCGTTACGGCACTGCGTTACTTTAACTGACCATTGCGCGGGTCGTGCAATGATGCAACCAAATTAAATTTATGTCCTTTTTTCCCCCCATAAATTGAGCTTTCAGTGGTATTTGATTCTAAATAAAAAGGTATGCGCTAATAACAAACTTATACAAAGGTGTATATCATCATCCAAAAAACATTAGTGTTTTAAATAAATAATTATAGTGTCCAAACATAAATTAGTGTCCAAAATATATATATATATATCTTCAGTGACTTGAATCAATTGTGAAAAATCCACCACCAAAGGAGATTAAATGAACTCACCAGAGCTAATGGCTGGTCAGATTATAAACCAGCAACAACGCTTGTGCTCTGGGAGCAATGAACCCGATGTCCAAATAGATATGGTGATGTTTCAGATACTTCCAGATAATAATCACAGCCAAACAACTTTGCAGTCCAAGCTCTTATGATGAACTTCTCCACTCTGTCTCATACCTCCATGAGAGCATACAGTACACTCAGGAACAAAAAAAAACAAAAAAAGAACATAATGGTGCAATACGTTTTTTTTTTTCATTTATCTCTTTAATAAAAAAGGTATAAGGAAACTCACAAACAAGGTGTCCAACAGACACCAGCTTCAATCGCAAAAAAGGGTTGAGATACAGTTAACGCTCACCGCGGATCTCTCCCATACAGCACAGAACAGCAAGGCTCTCTAACGTCCACATCGAGTAGGCTACACCCAACCGTTTCATCACACCGACGTCATCAAGGGGTGGTACAAAAGACTGCAACAATATTGACGGTGAGTTCAAACACTGAGTGACAGAGTTCATCAAAAGTAGTGCTTCTGTGCTCCGTGCCTCATGATGAAAAACTCAGGTACAATAATGCACTTACCAGAAGCACATATAATATAAGCATTATATGTATATGAATAAAATGAAAAAGCGAGCGCTCCTAAAATAGAAGTAAATCAAAATATAAAGCGGTACTTATGTGCGGTACCAATCGAACACTTCCCCAGCTGTAGATATCTCATAAAGGCTTTTGACAGAGGAAATGACAGAAATGCGCACTCACCAACCGCGCATAATGTATCCATCACCAAGATGTAACACAGCGGGTACAGTATCCCTCAGGGAAAGTTGTTATCAAGCAGTGATCAGCTGGGCTCAGAGGACTTCTTTAGGATGTGGGTAGACCGCCTGGATGTATGGCTCCCTCCTCTGAATGTTGAATGCAGTAAAGGCTGTATTTATAGATCTTTAGGTTGCAGGAACTCTCAAATTCCGCCTTATCTGTCATTTCCACTGTCAAAAGTCTTTATGAGATATCTACAGCTGGGGAAGTTTTTCGATTGGTACCGCACATAAGTTGATTTATTGCATGAACTTTCAAACAAACTTATATTTTGATGATTATCCATTTTAGTGCTGCACTTTATATTTTACCATTATATGTATATGGTCTATGCGTTGTCATCCAGGTCTGGTCTGTAGTGACCAGGTCATCAGGCTCAAAATAGGACTCTCAGAGATGAGATTTGATTTAATTACACCCCAATGGAGAGGAGAACACAAAAGGAGGGCGGTGTCGCAATTAGAAACTAGATGGATTGTGGAGCTGAAATCCCTTACCCCTCATGGCCTCAACATAGATCTTGATATTAATTGTTTTAATCGATAATAGTTGATTTCTTTTATTTCTTATTCCATGTTTTTACATACTATTTTAACCATGTTGTTGGGAATGGTATTTGATTACAGGTTTTCTGGTGTTATTCTATTCATTGCCTCAGTACTTGTGTTTCATTTATTCGATTCCTTTCTCTTTATGATTATTACTAGAGATGAGCGAATCGAACTTGGCGAAGTGGAATTCGTTTCGAATATTAGGAAAAATTTGATTCGCACCGAATCCAAATTTTAGCAAACTTCGGATGCACGAATCGAATTTTCCCCGATCAGCCGGCAAAAAGTGTCACTGCAGAGAGCTCCGCTATTTCTGACAGTTCTCTGACAGTTCTGACAGTTCATTTACAGCGGTTGAAACATTGTATCTATTTGTTTCCATTTAGGATACAGATGTTTTTATTCGGAAACAAATAGATACAATGTTTCAACCGCTGTAAATGTGAAGGAACTGTCAGAGAACTGTCAGAAATAGCGGAGCTCTCTGCAGATACACTTTTTGCTGTACTGGAATTCTTCTTCTTTTCATTCTTCTTCTCATTCTTCTTTTCATTCTTCTTCTCATTCTTCTTCTTCTTTTCATTCTTTCTTCTTCTTTTCATTCTTCTTCTCCTTCTTCTTCTTCTTTTCATTCTTCTTCTTCTTCTTTTCATTCTTCTTCTTTTCATTCTTCTTTTCATTCTTCTTCTTCTTCTTTTCATTCTTCTTCTTCTTCTTTTCATTCTTCTTCTTCTTCTTCTTTTCATTCTTCTTTTCATTCTTCTTCTTTTCATTCTTCTTCTTCTTTTCATTCTTCTTCTTTTTTTTTCATTCTTCTTTTCATTCTTCTTCTTCTTCTTTTCATTCTTCTTCTTTTCATTCTTCTTTTCATTCTTCTTCTTCTTTTCATTCTTCTTCTTCTTTTCATTCTTCTTCTTCTTCTCATTCTTCTTCTTCTTCTCATTCTTCTTCTTTTCATTCTTCTTCTTTTCATTCTTCTCATTCTTCTTTTCATTCTTCTTTTCATTCATCTTCTTCTTTTCATTCTTCTTTTCATTCTCTTCTTCTTCTTCTCATTCTTCTTTTCATTCTTCTCATTCTTCTTCTCATTCTTCTTCTTTTCATTCTTCTTCTTCTTCTTTTCATTCTTCTTCTTTTCATTCTTCTTCTTTTCATTCTTCTTCTTTTCATTCTTCTTTTCATTCTTCTTCTTTTCATTCTTCTTCTTCTTCTTCTTTTCATTCTTCTTCTTCTTCTTTTCATTCTTCTTCTTCTTTTCATTCTTCTTTTCATTCTTCTTTTCATTCTTCTTCTTCTTCTTTTCATTCTTCTCATTCTTCTTTTCATTCTTCTTCTTTTCATTCATCTTCTTTTCATTCTTCTTTTCATTCTTCTTCTTCTTTTCATTCTTCTTCTTCTTCTTCGTCGTGCCCCGTGACTGCCCAAATGAGTGAAGTGTGCGGTGATTCTAAGATCGACGGCACTCATCTGCATGTCATACTGACTGACAGTATTATTTCTCTTCCCCAGCAGACTCCAATGGCATTTAAATTAAAGGTACAGTGTTCTGCACTAATATAAAGGCTCTCTGAAGCCTAGAAACCCTTTTAATAAGTTAAATTCGCAGCGAATAAATTCACATCAAATCGAATTTCTCCCGCAAATTCGGCGAATCAGCCGAATCGAATTTTTGAATAATTCGCTCATCTCTAATTATTACTCTTGGAGACCGCATCCTGTATATATTGAGATGTTATCATTGTGTCCCACTATGTTAGCCCCATTTTTATGCTCTAGGTCTTAGTGATATTTTAGTTTCTTTTATATATTGATGACATATGATTTTGTGCATTTTTATGTTTTTATATTAGTTTTA